GCCATTTTAAGTCTCTCAGCTTTCGACAGGACCTATCGTGCCAGTTGTTCTCTGACTGGCTCGTGTTCGCTCCGTTTCAGAGCAGAAATGCCCTACAATTAGAACTTCGCGAATTGCGACTCAAGCTTCTGCTAAAGCGTCCATGTCCTGAAAGCTTCTTGTCTAAGTGCGATTAAAATTAAAGCCGAATCCGAAATCGAAGAAAAATTCGCCACCTTTGTCATATTTCACAAGCAAATGCATAGACGCCTCATATTCAGCCGCGACATTCATCTTCGGTTTTTCAATAGGCTTATTCTCAATGTTGGTCTTTTTTGACAAGTAGCAGCTCAGCGATCAGTTTTTTAACTGGTGTCAATCTCCTTCTCCTCAATCTTCATTGGCTGGCAACTGCACGACGCAGGACAGATGACACGAGATTTCAGCAAAATCACGCAGCCTTTCAGATACGGTACCCGTACCAATTTTTCGCTCTGCGTACGAACATTGAGCTATTCCAGGATTAGGATTGCTTTGGTTTTAAAGATAACTTTAAAGCAACGTCTGATTCACCACATCCTGTCACTAGGTATATTATATTAAAATGCTATTGAAAACCTGAGCATGTAGCTTCCATCTTGGAAGAGAAATATGCAGAAACCATATAAGAACATGGTAGAAAGTGAGTGTCAGTTGTAATTTGTAAAGTAAATTGCACTAATCGCGGATATTCAGGTCGTGTAAAGATATAAGAAGCTGTAGAGCAGAATGCGCAAGCTTGACGAGATACGGGTTAGCAAAAACTCGACACGCAACATCCTTCAACTTTACTTATTAAATTCAACGCAGCATTCCGTTACCTAAAATACGCACTGTGGCAAGTTTCACAGAAGTAACCGGCACAGTTGCACAATGTAAAACAAGTAACCTTCTCGATTCATCAACAACGTAAATCTGTCGGCCATTTCTATCTATGCATGGTTAATGCACTATCCTTTCAAACTGTCACAAAACCGATATACCATTAAACAAAACAAGAGACAAGCAACTTCACCGGATAACACCTATTTTCTTCTTTTGCTCTTTTTGTACTCGGTTTCTTGTTCCACCAGAGACTTCATGATAAGTTTTGTTTTCCGTTCGCGCTCCGTGTCGAGTTCTGCCCTGTCCATCGCTTGCTGTCTGGCAATGAACTGACTGTCTCTTCGCAGCTCCCTCACAGTACCTCTGAACTCACGTTTGTACTTCCGGACGAGAAGTTTCTTCTCTGCCAACTTCCCTTTGACTGTCTTCCTCCGTTCAGGATTAAACTTTGCTTCGATCAGTGGCTCCTTGAACTTGAACTGTTTTATTTCCGGCTTTAAACAAACCTGAGGTACAGGCGTAGATCTTTTGAGAGCTTCGAGATGACTAAAAATTTCGTCGACACTGTTTCTCAGGTTTGACGGATAATTCTGCTTTGGAAGAAATGTCAATAAACGAAAAATGGGCGAAAATATTTCAGTCACAGAAGGCAAGTCAGACCATAAATCAGTCAGCTGCTTTATAAGCTGAAGTGCTATACCGATGGCAAGAACTTTCAAGGTTTCTTCGTTCTCCATTGAGGTAGAAGAGAAAATCTGAGGTATTGAAATTTGTATTTCCTCATCGGTAGCAGAACATGGTTCATCAATGTACAACAAACCAACCTTCGGTCGATGAGGGCCTTCTAGATTAGCAAAGTGAATGCCATAAGGTTCGCTGCTACTCGTCGCTATTTGTATAACGTTGATCAGCGAAACCACAATTTCGGGCACATAGATTTTCATGATTTTCAAGTACTCTATGAAGGTCATGATCAACAGCAGACTTCTGAGAACGTCTTTATGACATTTGATTCTGGCGCTAGATAAACTCTGAGCCATGAAACGAGCGGCGTTCGTCAAGATATTCTTCCCTGCAAGAGACACATCAAACATTCTGGGCAGCAGTCGCAAGAAAATGAAACAAGACAATTCCGAGAATCCGTCTACACTGGTTTTGTAGCGGTTCAGTACAGCGTAGGCGCATTTCAAGGCATGTATCGGTTCCATATTTGCCAGAGCGCGAAGAATTACTGTCAACAGGTTCAGCAGAGGAAGGTCAAAGTTCTTCGAAACCGCTGAGTCAAAGTACCTCAAGGCGTAAACAAAGAGATTGCAGAGCCGCTTATGATTATTGGGGTGCAAACTCGGATGATGGCATTTTATCAGTCGTCTGAGAACGACACCTTGGATTTTCGGGCAGTGCGATGAAACCAGTGATAAAAAGTCATCGTAACTTTTTGGCATCTCGAACACGAATGGAATTCCTGGGTAATCTAAAAAATAATAACTCGGTAAAGAAAGCAAAAATATTCATCTGATAAATTACGAGTTTAGAATCAAACAGCCCTTTAAGAAATCGCTAAAGAAATACGAAACGTAATTACAATTATGCATAAAAATCAGAAACTCAACTTGGTGGATTACCGCTGGTTTGAAAATACAAAATATGTTAATTGTAAATAAACTGAGAACAGTCTTAAACCATAAAGCTGAAGAGCGAAGCTAATTCATACTCATAATTAATCAGACGTTGACGAAATTTAGAAAATTAGGCATCTACTGGCGGTTAGCTATCTATCGTCTATCACCGGACAGAATCCTGCACAATACCGAAATTAGGCTCATTGGAAATGGTGATATATTTCTGCTCAGCTCTGTCACTGTCTGTCATTAATTTTGCCATACGTCGTACGCATATACAACGTTGTATAAGGAGACAAGCGCTACATGCTACTGACGTCCATGCGACGGACAGTGAGGAAAGCACTGTTTGGCAGGGTAAAATAAGCTATCTTCTCTAGCCCAAAACTTATAGGAACCCTTAAAAGATTATCTAGCGACTGTATTGTTTGAGAGATCTCTTCAAGCCTTTAAAGAGAATTAGATTAGGAGAGTAATCTGATTAAAAACCCGAAATTCATCCGTTTTGTAAACTTAGAACGATAAGAATGAGAGATTCTATTGTCCTGCAGTTTATAATGTGAGACTCATGGATAAGAGAGCTGAAAATGCAGATAGTGTCCAGAGGATGAGTAACAATACCACCCGTCGCGCCAATAAGATAAAGGCCTGAGAAGTGTGGGGTAATAAGACTGTTCAAACATTAATGTTTCAGATTTACTGAGCACATAAACCCATTGTACAATATAACAATCGCTTGATTTACAAATTTAAATTTATACTCATTTTTCTTTATGAAGACTATAACGAAGAACGAACCTTTGTCCAAGCGTTTGTTTCTCAAAAATAGAAGAATGCGAGACTGTCTTCAGTTTTGTGTTGTGTTGTGATAATCGTGTTGAGCCGTTTGCATAAGCAGTACGTTGCTGATTGTGACATGAGCTGCATTCTTAAACTTTCCCCTTGCTGTAAGGCAGTGGTTACTGTATCTCTGAAAGGTACAATTCTTCTCTGAACACCGATCTTCCATCGGCCTCAATCTTTATGCTCAGTGACAAAAGTCTGAACAGTTCTCACAGTTATTTGTTTATGTAAGTTTTTGTATATTGCAACAACCGTAACTACTGAGCAGTGTAAACGTTCAATTTAACACTTCAACCGTGCTTTACGGGGTTAAATAGGTAATGATTACCATGAAAAGTAATACAGTTCTTATTCTATGAGTATACAGTATGTAACGTACGTGGAAAAAATATGGAGTGATTTTTCTGGATTGTTGGGAAACAAACAGAACTCCTTACATTAAAATTAGCGGTAACTTGATTTTCGACAAGAATTTTTCATACATCTGTAAATCCAAGTGAATATGCGAAAGCTGTATTATGCAAACTTAAAACAGATGCCTTATTAATCAAGTTCTACAGCGAACACACGTACATAGGGGAAAATGATAAATACTCAGTAACAACAGGTACTAACTGTGATTAGGATTCTTGAGTCACTGACGTTACGCTCAAAACTAAAGGTATCCATTTATCCTGCGGATGAGCGTGGCTCAGCTGTAAGGTCTTTCCATTTTATTTACCTTTCACTGGTTTTACTGTTCTCCGTTTACATCCTCATCTTCCGTAGGAAATAATTTTCTAAAAAAGCTGCGGAAATAAGCCTTGACTCGGGTGTTCATAGTTGGAGAACTAAGTTACCAAAAATACGTTGGTTACTGGAATGAAGAATGGCGTGGTATAAGTATGCTGATTACATCCTGCGTAATAGCTGTTTTTACGCCTTGTCAAAGCATATATAGATTCTTAGTTATTAGTAAAGTTAAGTTACTCCAGTTAATAAAATGATGCTAAATTTAACTGAACCGCTTATGCAAAAATATGAAATTTTCTATTGTACGTAAAAATAACTAGGGTGTTATGTGTTTACTGGCAAGCTAGTAAACTTCATATCGCGGATAAGAATAACAATCGCTTGTGAACTCTGCGGCGAAGTTTTGGATGGTTTAGACTTCTTCCGCAACAATAAACAAAAAGCGGCTCCATAATGACACAAATCTTAGTCTAAAAAGGTGTACATATTAATGTACTATATGTGATGAAATCTGAAATATACATATACTACATACATACGACAAATGAGACTCGTCAGCTGTAAGAAAAACTTTCACGCTTTGTTAACCAACACATTAAAGCATTAACGTTTATGCAAACGGTTCAAGAGTTTCTCATTACTACAAGCACAACTGTAAGATTGAGGCATGTCGGTCGCCTCGTAATTTAAATGTGCTATATACTGCAGCATTTCGCCGCGTTCGTTACTTATTAAACGGATGTACAGAAGAATCTTCATACATCATAAATTTAAATACACATAAATTCTCATGGCTCATTGTAGCGAAATTCGCAAACTGAGGTATGGCTCTATCAGTTAAGAACTCACTAATCGTACAAAAGTCAACCGGTGATATAAGCAGCGATGCAAAGTAACAGAATCGCTTATGCATACTTACTATTAAAGACATCAATTTCAACTGAAGTGTGATGGGACTCGAACTGGGAATTTTGTGGTAACGACGACTGAGGATCGTCTAAGGCAATATCGACAGCTTCTTTTGGCTGAAAAATGGCTGTTCGTTCTGCCTCCAATCGTTCCAGGCGTTGCCTGTCTGATTTGGCCACGGCTTCAGGGGTTTGAGCCTTTACTGCTGATTGGACCCGTCGGCCGCCTAGTTGCATCTCGCGCACCAGTCGGTCATAGTCGTCCACCTGCTGCCGAACTGGTTGGTTAACCTGCTCGTCCTTGGTGCGCTTCAACAAACGATGCATCAAGTTCTTCTCCAACACCTCTTTCCATTGATTATCGAGCTGTTCTGTTAGCACCTCCATTTTATCCCGCTGCATTTGCCGCTCCAGCTTTACCGCTTTGCTCTTCTCAATTATCGACTGTATCAGAGTTTTGCGACCCTCCTTAAAAACATAAATGTCAGAGCAACAAGAAATTTCAGAAAAATTCTAATTCACGCGATTTTCACAACTAAACATAGAAACAATGCATTTATGCTCAATGGGGTTAACATTCTCAATATTAAAACTACAGAAAATCCTGGTTAACCCGAAATTTACTGGAGATATGTATGTATGAAGTACAAAGCGCGACATGCATTACATTAAAATGCTTAATTAATGCTGAATAACCTTCGAAGTTGAACACGAAATCTATCTAATTTTTTGATAAAATAAATTGTTAATGATATTGCTGTTAGTAGTTTTATACCTTTATATGTAGCATAGTTGATAAACACTAAATTAAATATTAGAAATCAAAAACGTGGTCGATGCTACTCATTTGTTAGCTTCTGAATTTAACCAAAAGCCGCGAGGTTAAGATGTTAAATCGTTTCTCAAAACCTTTGCACCATCAACTGAACGCCTCAAATTTTACGATGTACATTTTTCAAGGATATTACTGTTTTTTCAATCAATATTGCCAATATTACTGTTCATGCTTGTGAAAGAAGCTGGAAAAATATTTCGAATTTGTTTCTTGTTACTGATCATCGTATTATTGTTCTTGCAACTGCACACTTTGCTCCACATTCAGTACAATGGAAATCAATAAGTTAGGCATATCGGAGTTTTTGGCCAGCTGATCTTCTGATTCATATTTCGTTCCTACGTCACTTATCATAATCGATCAATGATTTTGCTATACGCGCTGTGCAACAAACGCGTTTAATTTAAATAAAAAATTAATTCACAAAAATTAATCTTTACAGAAACTACATTTATTATAAATATAGCCAGATAATTACATTAAAATTAAAGCAACAACAAACTACATAGTACTTTAACATAAAGTACCGTTTGCTCCTGCGAACAACTTCCAGTGACGAAATGGGCATTTTTCACGAAATCGGCAGAAAGCTTATCACTCGCTTCCTGCTCATCGTCATCATCATCATCTGAAGACGGCTGTTCGAACTTCTCGATGTCGGCGAGTGTCCGGCCGTGGTGGGTCAGCAACTCCTCGTCGCCAAGGTCACTTGTTTTATTTTTGGTGAACAACCGTTGTCGCTCGAGAGCGAACCTCATGGCCATTTTCTGTTGCTTAGAAAGATTCTTACGGTGTTCACCGACACGCCTATCTCGAAGGCGGTTTTTCTTTCCGAAGCGAACGTACTCCTTAAGCAGTGTCTGCTGACGCTGTTTCAATGCCTTGGCATGCGACACCAGCGGGTTACCCCTTTCACCATGATCCAGGCGCCGACCGAGTGCCTCAAAAAATTACAAATTAAATATACAGTAGAGCATTTATTCATCCCCATCCAAAGATCATCCGATGGGCTGAGCAAAAAAACTAGCAAGTAATGACGGATGAATGAGCTCTAGCACGTAAATGATCATTATATATAAATCTTGAAATATTTTACAACTCTGCGTGCACGCGGCAACGACACGGGATACGCATACGAAGGCAGTTATTCGAGAAATGCGCACCTTCTGCATCACCGGCTATTAAAGCTCTCGGAAGATGCATTTATTCGTTCCACAGTATGAAATCATATCAGTAGATAATGTCACTTTAGTAAAATATAATGGAAGTTCAATAATCATTATGAAGATCAGGAGAGTGATGAATTAAGGCCTAAATCGTTGTCGATGACTGTGATAACGATTTTCTCACAACCGAACGCAATCTACTGTGCTAAAATAAAGCTACTCAATAGACAGTCAGATAATCAACAGTACGCGAACAGCTGCAACATAATGATGCCTTAATGCGGATACGTAAAAACTTGAGAAATACGTGACTATGCTATTCGAATTATTATTGCACATGCTTTATACGTTTGCAGTAAGCGTGACCATCTCATCAGCATTAACAAAACTAGTAAATCAACATACAAAAACAAGCAAATTTAAAACTTAAGCCAGAGAGCATACAGACTTTCATTTAACATTTCATTTTTAGCGTAACCGCAAAGAGGTATGTTTCCCTCAATTCGCCAAGGACGGCCAATTTTATATACTCTTGTTCAGCATGTAAAAAAACTCGTGATTTTGTACTCAGTTACTAGAATTCGACATCAGTAATATGGACAAAGCGACCGAAGGTTAACGGCTTCATCGAAACAACGGATGTCTTCATCTGGCAACATTCAGAACGAAAAATTCGTTTTTCTTATTTGCCGTCATTTTGTTTTTTCCTTTGCAATAATTTCTGTAAATGGAATATTATATTATGCTGATAGCAACTGCGCTGCAAAAGCGAACAAGCATTTTCTTCTTCAAACGAGGCTGGCAATAATAGTTGAAAGTGTGTGTATCATTTACTAGACTTGGCTTTTTGATTG